TCCAACCTACGAACAGGAAAGGCTCCCGTTTATGGGGACCTGCCTTAATAACGGTCTCAACTGGCCCCCAAGACCGAAGGACATTTTTAACAACAAAGAGGTCTGGAACAGCCTCAAGAAATACATCAAAAACACAAAGACGCTGTGCAACAACTATCGTACTGTGACCGCGACATAGAACTCGTCATCTACCAACCACCCCAAGGCGGAGTCGAGCCGCATCATTAAAGGACATTCGAACGGCTGTTGGAACGAAACTTTCGATGGATCGGTAACTCTGTATTAGCTTCTGGATCCACAGGGGCTGTGTAGGCAGCCGTATCGTTTTGTATCGTCATGTATCTTACGTGTTGTATAATTTAACTCGCGTATGTGTAATGTAAGTGTACCTTGTAAATGTCAAATTGCGTTTTCGTTATCTCAGGTGTTGTAAATGCGGCATAATGGCCGTGAAACTGTTTTTCTGTACCTCAAACCCATTAATGTAGTAATTATATATCATATATGTTAGTTTTAAGTCTCCTGTTGTAACACGTGCGGCGAGTGCAACGCCGCCACGTATCCTTGGAACACGCCAATTGTATCTGTTTTTCCTACTTTAATCTTGTTACCCTGTAAATATAATTACGTTGACCATCTATGTACTGTGTAAAATATCGATGTAAAGACTATATTGTAATCACGTCATAATTAACTGTAAATATTCGTAATTGTCTGTACTCGGTGTTATTAATAAATGCGATGCGGGCGCCCATGGTGTCTCCCATGCCTTATTTCACACTTTCCTATCTTACTTTCTCTTCACACTTCGACCACATGCTCTTCCTTCTTTCCTCTTCCAACAGGGCCAAGTCCGTAAACAAGTAACGGATAGCTCTCTCTTCCTTTGATGTAATGTCTAATGACCTTGACCGGTTGACCCGAGATATATTGTTTCAGCATTGGAACATTTTTGAAAATAGATGGTATTAGTCATTATAATTTTTTTATATTAAAACTAACTTCTGAAATATAACTTTTTTTTGTTTTTACATTTATTAATATATTTATTTCGTTTGTGCAAAATAAAAAAATAATTTCAGACAATATAATAGCCACGATTATTTTTTCAAAAACGGGACATTTTCGTTAGGCATCGACAAAAGTTCAACCTGGGGCAACACAAAATGGAGAGAAATTTCGACATTGGATAGGTTAATTTCACCGAAAATGTATCACGGATGACCTCATGGTTGTGGCCGAGGCTGGCGAAGTTTGAACGATTGCAGTCAAAACCAGCAATACCAAAGAAGATTGGAGAATGAGAATGAGACCCGCTGTGAGTGTCAAAGTGATCCCACTTATTAGTGAGTCTCCGAGACATAGTCTTGTCCCAAATACGGCCTTGCCAGTTTACTTGTTATATGCACTAATATTGAATCATTTTTACATTCAGATGTGATAGAACACATATGATGAAAGTAATCATTTACCATTTTAATGTGTTATATGTTTAAATACATAAAATCATGCATTATATTTCTTACAGCAACTTTTCAGTATCTAGATCAGTGGTTACCCATGGACCCCTTTTCCTCTTAATTTTTTTTGGTGGACCCCCATAGACATTGCACAGAAAAAACTTTATACTTTTTACTAATAAAAAAAATAAAGGAATTGTATCAAAAAATAAAAATAAATAGTAAATGATTATGCTTTATTTTGATAGAAAGCCAATTTATTTATTTTTTCATTACATTGTTTCAAATTGGAAAAATATTTTAATTCTGAAGCTCTGAATTTCAGAAAAAGTAACTGTTGTATTTATGAAGTAGCACTTTTAATACCTCTTATCTTGTCAAGATGGAGTTTAGCACAGAGCTGAAGGTTAGGGTTAAAATAAACTTATTACCTTTATACTGGAGGGAGACTATAAACTTTATAGCCTCCCTCCCTTATCTTCAAGATCTGGAACAAACTGATGCAAACATATAGAAACGTCACTGTCAAGTGACATGATGCTGATGGTATAAGATTTTCCTAACAAACCCCGACTTATATATATCAGTGACAAGAGGGCTGGATGCAATAGGTGCGAGGCCTGATTGAATTTTTTTTTGCATGTCCCTTAAACTTTAAATAACAAAATTAATTAAAAGTTAATTTAAATATTGAAATATAGATTTTAAATATTTATTTAAAACAAAAATCAAAAGTCATGAACTATAAAGCAGACAAATTTCTCCATTAAAAAACCTGTACCAAATATAAAAATAACTACATTTTATTGAATATAAACATACATAGATATGTTTTAGTATTTCTATATTTTTAAATGAATATAACTACATATATTTTTGCCATGAAAAATCTAATATGTTGATGAATGAATATAACTGAATTTTATTGAATATAAAACTATAAAGAGATGTTTTATATGTTCCGAAGTTTTTGTTCTGTAAAATCATCTAAACTACATATATTTTTGCCATGAAAAATCTAATATGTTGATGAATGAATATAACTGAATTTTATTGAATATAAAACTATAAAGAGATGTTTTATATGTTCCGAAGTTTTTGTTCTGTAAAATCTTCTAGAATAGTATCAAAATTCAACTGGCTTGCTTCTTGACTCTCAATTGACATGATCGACACAAACTTTTTAATCTATTCTGTAATTTTAAACTATTTTTAAATATATAAATTTTGATGTGCTGAGGGGCCCCTTCAAGCGCAGGGCCTGATTGGCGCAAATCGCTTCAATCGCCTCAAATCCAGCCCTGAGTGACAAAGGTCAAAGAGAGATTATAATGTTGTATACATATTCAATATTTTAAATAATTTATATTTTAACCCTTATGCAAGAAATAAGGAAATTGACTATATACTGTAGAAATTTAATTCTCAGTAAAACAATTGTTCTGAAGTAGAATTATTCTATAGACCACTAAAATATCACCATGAATCCCCAATTTGGTATTTTTATTTTTTTTCTGTGAACCCCGGTTGAGAATCACTGATCTAGATGAATGAAAACTATAACAAAGTACAGTACATACAGTAGAGCATTGATCAACCGAAACGTCTGTTAACTGAAAACGTTCCAGTTGGACTGTGTTGTGCTCAATCGAACATTTTTCATACTAGATTAACTTCTAAAGTATAATTTTTTGTTTTTATATTTTCAATATATTTATTTTGTTTGTACAAAATAAAGAAATAATTTTTAACACTACAATAGCCACGATGATTATTATAAAAATTTTCGTTAGGCTTAACATCGACGAAAATTCAACACAAAGCAACATGCAATGGAGAAAAATTTAAACATGGGATATATTAATATATTATTATTGGGATATACTAATATACTATGTTAATAATGTATTTTTTCGTACAAATCGGTTATCCGAAAAATTGATTTTCCGAACAACGCCAGTCCCCAATTGATTCACATAATTGATGCTCTACTGTATTTCAATATAGTTTATTTTTTTTTTATTTCTTAGGAGGTTCGTGAAAGTGAAGTAAACTATTATGTAATTACAAAAATTGAATGAACATAATATAATAATTATACAAATGAATTTTAGACATAAATTTGACTCTCCTATATATTTTGTAGGAAAATTAAATTTATGTTCATAATCTAATCTTCATAAGAATTTTTTTACATAAAATTAATTAAGCTTATCATTATCATATGTGATAAAAGATTTATTTTTGGTTTTTGTTAGAGATAGTTGATTAATTATTGGAAGTTTAATTAATTAACTTTTCACACAGATGAATACCAAAAAATATTCATTAAATTGATTTTTTAAAATTTATATTTCAATTTTTGTAAAGAATCTTAATTAACTTGATTTTCTGAATATTATAAATATGAAATTCTGTTTTTATTAATGTAAAAGAAAAATTTATGGAACAAATATTTCAAGTACTTAATTTTCTTTTTTCCTTTTTAGATAATAAAATTATATGTGCTTTAATAAATTGTGAACCAGAACCTTTGTTAGCCATGGTTGATCCTAATGTTCCAAATACACAAGTAAAAGTAATCAGTATATTAAGTGATCTTGTAGACAGGGAATTAGTTGCAACTATTGGATGGGCAAAACAGATACCAGGTAAATCTCTTAATTATAAAAGCAATGTATTACTTTTAATTTAATGAAGTTTATCAGAATTATAAAACAGCAACTGCACACTGGGTTGTATATAGCAAAATATGACCTACTTGAGCCTATAACTGGTGCGTACAGAGTTTAATCTTCCAAAACAAACGTTTTCCTAACCCTTTCTGGGTTCTTCTTCAGGTAATTCAGCTGGATCAAACTCGAATACGAAAATATGAACAAATCCGAACATTGACGTGTTTCAAATGTTCGGTTCAGTTCGTTTGCATATTCCGTAACGAACTGAACATTTGAAAAACGTCAATGTTCAGATTTGTTCATATTTTCATATTCGAATTCGATCCAGCTGAATTACCTGAAGAAGAACCCAGAAGGGGTTAGGAAAACGTTTGTTTTGGAAGATTAAACTTTGTACACACCGGTTATAGGTTCAAGTAGGTCATATTTTGAAGTTTGTCAGATAAATATTTAAGTTGAATATTAAAAATATTTTAATCTAAAAATCTGTCTTTAATTATTTAATCAATAATTAATTAAGACAAGCTTAATTTTTTATTATGTATATCAATCAATTTTGACAATTTAATTAACTCATTCATTCTTATCCTTGATATTTCAATGCTGTTGTATATGTCCAATATCAGAATAAATTAGAACATTCTCATATTTCACTTAAAATTATTTCCTTCTAAAAATTTAACTTTTATAAAGAAAAGTTTGTGTTTTTTTATTTGTATTTTGTTTCAAAAATATTTAAGCTCTGAAAATTTCATCTTTCTAAGTTCATGGAGACTAAATTGTTTTTACCTCTCAGGCTACATGTGAAATTTGTATTAAAAAAAACCAGTTAATCAACTTTTCCACAGGCTGATTTTTTTTATTTTGAATGAATTAAGCCAATTTTGGCCAATCTCATGTTTTAAAGCGTTAACGATATAGAGAATAATATGCAGTAGCTATAGTACACTATGGTTTAATATGACAAATGCATTTCTAAACTAATTATAGATAATGCCAAAATATTGTCACAAATACTATTTCTCAAATGATTTACAGCGGGGTTGCTGTCTGACTCTCATAGCTATTAGCATGAAAATTTTTGCTCTCTCGTGATTTGACTGATTTTTGCTTTTTCTTTGAAAAATGTCATAGTTTCAGGCTCAGTGGCAAAAAAGTTTTCCTTTTTTTTTAATCTCAAGACGGATCATCATGAAGTGTAAAAAAACGAATTGGAAGCGAGAAAATGTCTCAGGTAAGTCAACGGAACAGTTGATCTTCTCTTATATAAGTGCCAAAAAGGAGATTAATGTTGAAGAAGGAATTTTACTTTTGTTAAAATTGCAAGCTTCCTCAAATAGTAAACTACAAGTACTTTTAGAGCATTTAGATAAAATGCAAGCATGGATTGAAAATATTGATACAGCATTGGTAGATGTTGAAAGTAGACACTCTGATTTTGAAGCTGATAGAGAAAAAGGCTATGTTAAAAATGCCAAATCAAATACAGAAATAGATATAATATGCAATAATCTCCATGAAAAGTTAATGAGACTAGAACAACACTGTAATATCAGGTTTAGAAGATAATGATAAAATGGATGATGATTTAGTTAAGGTTCAAGAACTTTTAAATGATAATTTAGATTGCAGACATCAATATTAAACATGCTTTTAGAGTTGGAAAATTTGAACTAAATACAAAAAGACTGAAATTAAACAACTCACAAATAATCAAAGATAAACTTAAAATTTATAAAAATATTAGTAATTTAAAAGGTTCAAATACATTCATTAATGATGACTATTCAAAAATACCCGACTTATAAGAAACAAATTAAGGCTATACGGTAAAGAAATGCATTTAAAAGGAGCCAAGATTGTTAAATTACGATAACAGATCATTCATAGATGACAAGATATTGCATGTAATTACAATAGTGAAATCTTCCAAACAGACAGAGAACAATGTTTTTTTTTGGAATATAGTTTATAATGACAAACAACATGATAACATAAACGACAAAGATGACAAATATGAAGTCCGATATTTGAACAAAGATGATAACATAAAACTTCTTTTCTTCAATATTGCAGGTTTACATAATAAATACTGTTTCCCTAACTTCTGGAACTTGATATATAATATGGATGTATTCTGTCTGGTGGAAACATGAAATACATCTTCAGCAATTGAATAAATTTTTTCTGATGACTATAAAATTTATCACCAAATAGCTCATAGTTGTGAGGGACCTGGAAGACTCAGTGGAGGCTTAATTGTCAGTCTTAGATCAGATGTAATCTCTAAGGTTAAATTGATATTTCAGACACGGTTTATACTGATTTTACAACTAGCTAATATCCTGCTCAACAGTAATTATGACAATGATTTCAAAAATACTTTGTTGATTATATAAGATTAATTAATTGCTACATGGAAAATTAGTAGTTTAGAAAGGCTGAAAAGTTATTTCATTGTTTTCTAACATTGAATTTATGAAATAAAAATTTATATAAATTTATCTTTCTAATGTAATATGATTTTTCATCTACACAGAGATGATAGTAAATTCTTATTATAATTTTTATATCTGTGGAAAACTGAGATTTGAACATAGCCACACTGAGAATACTGTTTAATTCTTAGAAATAACATTGTAAGTTTTAGTTATCTTCAAAAATTGGTTTAATTTGCTTGCAACATATTATACTGGTATAATTTGTTGCAACTTAACAACAAAAAACTTTGGCCAACTTTTCAAAGTTTAAATCAATACTAGATGATAGTGATCATTAATGAATTCTACTTTAGTGGTAATGCTTATTATTTGATATTGGCAAATCCAATATTTTATTATTTTATTATTATTATTTAATTGTTGATTGCTAAAGCAAGAAAAAGTTATTGGAAAGTGTGTTTTGCAAAAAAGAGATGCTGAAGCTATTTTGACTGGTCTACTGAACAATAAAAATAAGACAAAAGTCTTTAAAAAATTTTGCTTTCTGACAATTTTGGAAAATGATATATCAGTGATTATTAATTTTAGATAATTGAAACTATCAAAGTGCGAGGTTGCCAATCTGCATGTAAAAGCAGGATATCTGAGCAATACCAATTCATATGTGGGAACGTTAGGCACAGATACAACTCTCCAGGTTTATTATAACTAAAAAATAAGCTTACAGCTACAACAGTCAACAATTTGTAGGTGAAGTCTTCCAATTTGTTTCTTCATCAAAGGTAGAATGTCCTACTGAAACTATCCTTTCTGGTCTCTTTTCGGAAGTCAAAGGCCCAGGATGTTGATAGGAGATTGAACTGGATTACCCATTGACTTTGTGACAGACTATGTTGTGATGCAGAGGCAATTTCTTTAACTGTGTACAGTGTTGCACAATAGGAAGACATGGGGGAGAAGCTTTCCATGTCCTTGGAATTGTCATTTTTATAGCTTTTTCGGGTCCCAGATTGAACATTCTGATTGGTTAATCCTACTCATCTCTGCTTTTTAATTGGTCTTCACTCATTACCAAGTGTAACAAGATTGGAGCCCAGATTGTGGAATGAGTCAACATCATCTGTCAATTTGATCCCAGTCAAAGATGGTTGATCTTACGACTTACATCATTCTATTGTTAAAATATGAGAAGTACTCTCTTTTCTTATAATTCCATCAAACATGAAATTTCTATCTTTCACTTAAGCAATTATATCAATTTTTTTTTTACAACAAAACCAAAAGTTTTCTTTTGTTTATTTTTAATGTGGTTCCAGTCCACTTCTGGAGCCTCACAAAAGTTTTTTCCCATAATTCAATATGATGAGAGTATAGAAATTGCAATAAAAAAAAAAAAAAGGAATATCCTAGATAAATTTTGCATTCACTTTATCTACTTGAATTATTTTATCTAGTATTTTCTGCCATCACGTAATACTTATATTATTGAGTCAGTTCTTATCCTTATCAATAAATGTTTGTTTGTTGTGAGTGACTGCTTGGAGAATATGGTTGCCAAAAATTGGACTAGTTAGTCCAGAATCCATTAATTCCATTGAGAAACTTTTTGAGATAAATTGGATTATTAAATTCGTAATAAGAGAATACTCAACAAATAAGATAAAATTGCTTAATGCTTTACTGGTTAAACATCAAAGAATATGTGTAACAAAATCTAATGAAAAGTATTTCATAGAAGAATTGCCATAAATGATTAAAAGTTTTGGCATTCTTCACTAATTTTTCATAAATATTTATTGAATGATTGTAAATTAGACATAATGATATTCATAGTAGGATAGCATGAAACTTATTTTCATCTCCAAATTAAATATAATTTTGTAATAAGAATGATTGATTGATTGATTAAATTTAAATATTTTATATTAATATTTAGGTATATTATTATATATTAAGATTTATAGATAAATATATCTAAAAAGTATAAAATTTATTTAATAATATTTAATCATTAGGTTTTACAGATCTCACACTCAATGATCAAATGAGGTTGTTACAGACAACTTGGGCTGAAATACTTTCGTTATCTTTAGCATATAGGTAAATTTTTAATCTTCATCTTTATGTAATTTATATATTTTATTTTATTTTAACTAAATTCATCATAGAATTAATATTTTTAAATCTTAGATCTGACTTTAAATTTGTCTTTAGAAGATGAAAATTTTTTTTAGATGATGTATTTATAATTTTTAAAATATTCAATCAATAATAAAAGGATAATCAAATAAGATATCTAACTGAATAATAAATTATAAGAATATATCATAATATAAAACCAAAAATAAAAATTAATTGGAGTGCAATTTTAAAAAATTGTATATCTATGAATTCCACTGTTGTCCATCTGTGTCTTTCCTTAATCTCGAGAATGGAGTTAGGCAAATGAAAGACAAGACCAGACGTGGAAAACCTTAGGAGCAGGAAGCCTTGATTAACTATATACAAACTTCTGATGCAAACCAGAAGTCACATTATTTTAATTCAAAAATTTCCCCCGAAAGGAGTTAGATAGATGACTGGCATGACTATTGCTAAAGAGAAATTATGATGTATAGGGCAAGTCACTACTAATTTGTGGTGGTGAGAACATTTTTTAAATTAAATATAAGATTAAAAAGTGCAGCCTGGCATTGTGTCAATGTCACAATAATATAATTGCTTGCTTTACAATGTTTCATTATTGAAAAGTTATAATGGAATACAGTCAACCCCCCTATAACACTGTTGATTATTACGAGTCACTTAGATTTTACAAACACGTGAACCGTTCACAGCCCGGCACATGTATTTGTAAAATCTAAGTGACTCGTACAACATGGAATTCATATAAAACAGAATAATCAACATTGTTATAGGGAGGGGTCGACTGTACTATAATTATTAATTATTATTGTGAATACAGTTTTTACTGTATACTTTAAATATATACAATAAAAATAAATAAAACTAACAACTTATTACATACAAAAGTTTTCTTTATTACTGTGGTCCACTTGTCATAATTTTGCTATTACCTAATTTAGAGATATTCAAATTCAATGGTAGGATTGTTCCTATATTGAATTTCACATAATGAACTTTTAGAATATCAGAGGTAAACTTACATGCAAAATTACAATTCAGTATAATCTTCATTAATAATGTTTGGTCTTTTTTAGATATATATATATATGTTACTGCTAAAGCTCGAAATCCGTTAATGTGCGCATTACCTAGCTAATCTGCAGATTAACTAGGGTGATCCGTTAAAGCTGCGAAAATTATTCCATTTCTCAAATTACCTAGGTAATGTTCAGATTATCTAGGTAATCTGCAAATTACCTACTAGGCACTCGGTAAAGTGAAAATAAGATTTTTGCTGGAACAACAGCAACGTTTCTGTACGCTTAAATTAACATAATGTTATTTATTTAATTTTCAATATCTAAAGAATCAAGTTAATACAATCAACAAATTAGTTGATTGAATCAATCATCAATCAATTAAAAAAACTTTAATACAAAAATCAAACGGTTTAAAATATTACTACAATTAGGGAAATGAATTTGCAAAACATATGATAAAATTGTACTTACTTATTAGTGCAATCTAAAGATTGGTGACACTTTGAATTACGTAGCAATTGGTTTTTGCGACAAGCACGCCTATTTGTGGTACATTTAGATTTGCAGTCACATTTTCTGAAACCCTGCCCAGTACCAAGGGATTGTTTTATTGCTGTTTGACGTAAAGATATTTCTACAGCAGGGACATCCATCTTCTTTCGTTAAAAATCTCTCTTTGCAAACACTGAATTCAGATTTTGCATACAATTGTTTTAAAATACCTGTTTTAGTATCAAGTTTATAAAAGCCATCCTCTGTTTTACTAAGAACCACAGCTAAAATTGAACGTGCATCAGTTTTTGCTCTGTCTTCTTCGGGTACTTTAATTCTCACAGCGAAACCTTCATCGACGTTTGGGTGCTTTGCATTAGAAACTGCTAACATTTTCTTTGCTTGCTTTTCTAAACATTTCTTGGCTTCATCACGCTGTATTTTCTGATCCATATTCTTTTTACAGATGATGCACAATACATTCTTACCATACCCTTCCTCTTTAGGATCTACTTCACCACAAACTGCGTGAACAAACATATTACACGATTTACACTTGTGAGCACTTGATGCTGCTTTTGAGCAAACAATACAGACTATGTCTTGTATAGTGCTCTTTACAGGCTCCGTACGAAACTGTGATGGCGATTCTGCTGAAGTTGAGAGTAACTCAGTGATGACTTCTTCAACTTGCAGAGGCGATTCCTTGGAGGTGCAGGGTAACTGAATATTCTTCGTGACTGCATCATCAATCAACGGTATAGAAGGCAGTTTAAGATTACTATCGGTAAATTCTTGTATTTCTATAGGTGATTCTGTAGAAGCGGGGGATAACGGAATGTCCTCTTGAGTAAGATTTGACTGTGATCTCATAATCACAGTCTCTTGTGAATCTTCTAATTTTTCAAGGTCTTCTTCAGTTTTTATCGAATGTCAAACAATTCTCCGGCATGGACAAACTTTTTCAAACCTTTCTCGCGCATCTGACAACGGCTCAATGAGTTTTTCACAGCCTCGTACAGTCAACACATCACACCTTTGAATTATTTGATAATCTCGAGATGATTCTTTCTTCTTGGAAACTTTTATTTGCTTTACATCTTCAATTATGGAATCATACTTTGGTTTGTTATTAAAACACTACGTATTATATTTTAAATCTTCGCTAAAGAGGTTTGCGAAGAATCTTTTCTTGATTTTACTCACCAATTCGGTGCTTGCTTGCATTCTAGGATTTAAATTTATCTACGTAAAAAGAAGGAGTGGGGAAAGGAAGTGAAAGAAACAAACTTTTGAACTTTAACGATACGGAAGCCGTTAATGTGCAGATTACCTAGATACTCTGCAAATTACCTAGGTAATTTGAGAAATTGAGCAATTTTCGCAGCTTTAACGAATCACCCTAGTTAATCTGCAGATTAGCTAGGTAATGTACACATTAATGGATTTCGAGCTTTAGCGGTAACATATATATATATTGGAAGATTTATATAAAAGACAATACAGCTTGATCTTCATGCCAAATATCAGAGAAAAGGAAGGAAAACTCACTGAGTACAGTGTTAACAGTTTTTATCATCACTAGTGCTTTCAACAAACTTACAATTATGAACATAAATTTGTTGAAAGTGCTAGCAATAATAAAAAATCTTAATGCTGTACTTGGTGAGTTTTCCTTCCTTTTCTCTGATATTTGGCATGAAGATCAAGCTGTATTGTCTTTTATATATATCTTCCTATATATATAAAAGACCAAACATTTTCTATTATTTTTATTTAATATTTTAATATATTTAACCAAGAGTATACATTTCAAACCAGTACGAGTAGTTTTAAGAGTTGCATTATTAGTTATTATTTCAAGCAATATTGTTTTCATATCAAGATTAGATTTGGAGAAATATGTTTTATGATATTTTGTATAGTTACTTCATTTGCAGTTTTAAAATTGCCTAAACTGATATAGATATATTCATTTATTTTTAGTGATTGCATAAAAGAATTTGAATATCCATAAGATTTTTTAATCAAAATTTATAACTTATGCTAATTTAGATTGTAAGGATATAATTCTTAAGTGTATTTTCTTTAGATCAAGACAACATTCTGGTTCTGCCACAAGATTAGTGTTTGCATCTGATTATATTATGGATGAGCATCAGGCATCCGAATGTCATGCCGAAGATTTCTTTTCACATTGTGTTCAACTAGTCCAAAGGCTTGATGTTGTTGGGATAGCTAGGGAAGAATATCTTGCATTGAAAGCTCTACTTTTAACTAATGCTGGTAAGAAATTAAGAATTATAATGTTTTGAAATTGCTCATGTTATCATAACATCATTTTTTATAACTCCTTTTTAAAACATTTATCAGAATTTATTATATGTTCTTGTTTACAAGTTCTGAATAAAGTACACAACTTCATAACTCAACAGATAAAAATTTTATTTTCTACACACTGTGGGTGACACTCTGGCACCTCTACGTTCACCAAGCACTATACTGATTCTCCACTAGACACACACACTGGTTAACACTGACCCACCACACAAAAAGGAATGCACAAGTTTCCCTGCTCTAGCCAGGAAAAGCTCACCCCACATTCTTAAAGGATTAGATTACAAAAATATATATGTGATAATTTCTGTTTAGTTCTATATATTGAACATCAAACTTAACAAATTAAAATCTAAAAATACACCTTACAATAAAAAAATTCATTGGAAACTAACGTGATAAATTCTTTTGAGAGTATATTACATCTACTTTCTTTTACAAATGATCTGAAGTTTTTAAAAATTAAACAAATTCAGCATTCCAACATCTTGGAACATGACCAAGAATTATAAAATGTTTAATTATAAAACTTATTAAAAATACATGATGTTTTGAGCTTTTAGTAAAACTTAAAAATACAAACTAAAAATATCAAATGTACTGATACATCTTTTTAAATTGGAATCCAGTATCTATGGAGAACTTTTTATTGAACTTTAAAAATAAGCTGGTGAATAATGAAGCAAGTATCATCTTTTGTGTTTTTAATATTTTTAGTTTTAAAAACTAGGATTATAACACTTAATGTTAAAATAATTCTATGTCATTAAACAATTCTTGACTCTTCCTCAAAATATTAGATCACTGAATTTATTATATTTTTCAAATTGACAAACAATTTGCATATGAAAATGGTTATCATATGCTTTTCAATGGCCTTCTTTGTTATAAGAAGTTAATTATATTCGAGTTTATTATTGTTATTTTTATGCATATTTTTCTAATATTTCTTTATCTTATAATATTTGTACATATCATGTAATACATTTTGAAAATTATCTTTCAGATATACAGTTAGAAGATTCGGCAACTGTTCGTAATTTGCGAAATACTATATTAGTTGGATTGCAAGAATGTGTGTCGGTGCTCAGGTCGACCGGTTCATTACAGCACATGGGACAATTATTGCTTTGCCTTCCTCTTTTAAGGCAGTTAGACATAAGAGTACGACAGTTCTGGAACAACGTTAGAAGAGAAGGAAAAGTAGCTATGAATAAGCTATTCGTGGAAATGCTGGAATCAAATTCCTCATTGCGGTAAATAGATATATATTGCCATTGGCAAAATGTAAATCTGTGCATCGTGACTTTTGCTCATATTTGTGGAAAGGAAGTTGATATTAACTTCGTCAATGTTGCCAATACTTGGCAAATGGAAAAAGGATTGAAGTATATATAAAAGTGACGACTAGAGGGGGGAATTAATAATTTCGAAGAACAAGCAGAAAATTTTATTAAATAAGAAAAGGATCGAGCAAAAGTTTTGACTATCATAAAGTAGAGTAAGAAAAAATTTGGTTGTGTTCAACATCTTAAAAAGTAGATGCAAAAATACTTAGAGGTTAAAAAGTTTACATTGTAAATAATTTGTCCATACCCATCGCACAGACTGGCATTTCTGCTTATTTTCATGGTACAAGCTCTGTAGGGGGGAAAGAAGGAAATAATTCAGATGGGAAATAGTTATTTTTGTACATAAACTGACAATCTATAATTCAAGGTATTTGTGCAAACATCCATATTTTTTTAAATAGTCATTTTGTTAAAATTTCCTTTTATCATCATTTCTTTTCTAATCATGATTTATGGCATTAATGGTTTCAAGACATTACAAAAAGATACCATTTCTATAATGATTGATGATATTAAAAACAAAATGAAGAAAATAAATAACAATGAAATGAATTGATTAAAGTTTAAAAAATAATAATGATAAACCTTTTAAATATTAAATAAGAAAAACAATGCAGAAATAATTATTTTCAGTAAAAGAAAATGATGAACTCGTATAAAGTTTTTAAAAATATAGTGATATACTTTTTAATAAAGATTTTAATGTTTTGGTAACTTTCTATTTTCTACATATTTAAACTTATAAAAATATTGAACTTTGAAAATAAGATTTTTAAGATAGATGATAAAATTCATATTAATTTTAATTTCATAGAAAATTCTAATATTGCAAATGTTCCTGTTTGGGTTAATGACATGGATTTCCACATGTGAGTGAATTAGAATTTCCCAAATACGCAACCGATACCTAATTATGTACATTTAATTCATTATATAATTTTTCCTCTAAATTTATTATAATCATATAATTTTACTGTTGACAAATGATGTTTGTTTTCCCAAGAATTTTATCACAAAAATTAAATAAGGAAATAGAATCTTCTTGTATGTTTTATATATTAATATAAGAAGATATCATGTAGTTAATGTTCATTGTTTAATTTTATAAATATATATATATTTCATATTTTATTAAAATTAAATTTAATAGGAACCATTTTATTATATGAAAATTCTTCCATAAAAAATTGAATATAATGTAAAATCTCAATACCGTATTACTTGCATATTTTCCTTTTCTTAAATGCAAATCCAAGGACAACAATCATGCAAATAATTTATAGAATTGAGTAATGTTTAATGCAATTAATACCATTTATTTTCCTCTCTTATATTGTTACAAATAGAAATACAATGATAAAAGCAAGTTGGTATCATTTTCTTAATAATTAAATAAATGAATCAAAATTGAAAATTACAATTGTCAATTAAAGAAATTTTAATTAGAAAAATCGCTTTATTATATTAAACTTATTTTGCATTAGAATATTGAATTATATTGAACAACATATTGTATATTTTATATACAAATTTTTATATATTTTTTTATATTAAAGCAATTGTTTTTATAACCGATTATGCTTTCATTGTTTAATTTATTTTTTTCTTCAAAAATATATACAGTTTGGTTATTATTTGTGCAGTGTCATTATTCCTTCATTTTTACTATATATTCTCATAAAAAGAAATATCATACATTTGTAAAACAATTTATAGTACTTTTAAATATAATTTTTTATAAAATAATTAGCTGAATATTATTGATCATTGTTTTTTCATCATCATTATTATGGGAGAATACTTTGAACTCTAATTGGTAAATCTACTTTTTTAAGTGAGAATGATAAAAACAAATAAAAGAATTTTCATTATTTAAGTAAATGAAAAAAATATTACAAAAATATTTTTTGATTAAATTATTTTACAAGTTTATAGATATTATAGCAAAGAGGAAAATATGTGAGTAAATATGGTAATTTATTGTAATAAAAAGAAAAAATGAATAACATGAAAATTGTTAACAGTAGAGTATTATAGAAGTTAAAAATTTATATGTAAGAATTTAATAAATTAAATCAAATGATAAATTATGATGAGGCATTGGATTTATAATATATATGCATGAGATATTTATTATTAAGATAGTTTGATATTTTTGCAAAATTCTGAAAATTGTTCAACAAATTCAGATTTGCATTTCATAAAAAGAAAATTAAGTATTAACATGCACAAACTATTCAGATTAATCTGGTATTTTAACACATAAGTTTCTACTGAAATTTTGAAAGTATTGTTAAAAAAAAGTTTTTATCTAAAAAGTTTTAGTATGAAATCAGATGTTAACTTATTTATTAAGTAATCTCTGCTTACATTTTAATATTTAATGTATTTATTATAAAATTTCTAATTTTTACAGAAAGAAAATGTATATTGTTTTTGTTTGCATAAAAAGAACATATTCTTTTTTTCTGCAAACAATTTTCATTATTTAAAAAGTTTCTTAAATGGGTACATAGTGGTAAACAAATGAATTCTTGACAAAGTACAAATTTATTTTGTGTAAAAAAATTATTTTTAAAATAATTATCACTCATAATCCATGTCAAAGTAAATTATCCCATAGCTTTAAATCCCATTCCTAATGTTCATTTGCAGTCATTGAAAATGAATATTGATTCCTAAATAAATTTCTTAATGGGCTGAAAATTATGTTAGTTTTCGGTTAGTAATATTTACTATCTTTTCAGTTTCTAAGCATTATATTAGGCATTTAGCAAAAATTATTATGTAGAAAGCTTTGATTTTAATTAATTATGTGGTAAATCTACAAATAAAGAAAGATTAGATGAACTTGTATGAAATATTGTATTATATTGCAATTAATCTTTATTGAAGATTGTCGTATACATTAGTTTAAACTTTGGTTGTTTGCTCTTTACCGTCCATTGACTGTGGATAAAGAATTGTTTGCAGATCATTTCTGTGATAATATAAGATAAACAAGTTGATGCTAAAATAATGTACTTAATGTGAAGACAGCAATACCAAATATAAGTCTTCATAAAAGAAAATATGGATAAATTATGATATTACTGTAGATTTAAAAAATAAATTTGCAGATTATAGTTTATAAAATATATACATACACAACACACAATCATCCATTGATAATATTAATTCACTTTTTCTGAAAATGAATTAATGTTATGGAATTTATAATTTTAATTATTATTCATATTTTAGATATGTTTTTCAAAAATACAAACCCAAATTAATCTACGGTGATATCATAACTTTACGATATATGCGATGTATATTTCTGTAACTGTTGTCGCCATCGATATCGGTGCGAGTGCAGAGAAAATATTCGTCATTGGTCACGTTTGCCTGATTTCGATCACATGAACTTCTCGTCCCACCGATTTTTTTCCTCTTATTGTCAATCATAACTTGTAGAATACATTATTCATTATCATTTCACATTAGTTAGTTTCGATCGTGTTTGAAATTAAAATTATGTGTAATTTGTGTATAGTGTACGTTCATTTTCTGAGGTGAAATTTTGTGATGTAGCTTTAAATGAATTTGTCAATTTAACATAGAAATTTCATTATTGTATTATTGTTGGCCTATTTTGCATGACTAAAAAAATTACTACCTCCATCTGTATTATAGTTTTATTTACTACATTGAATTTAGCCTTCATTCTTGTTAGATTGTAAATAAATGATTGCTGTAAGGATGGTTGCTGTAATTTGTAGTATTTTTTTTTCTTTAATTAGAAAGCTGGATGAGTTGATTGTGATGATATGTGGCAACATATGATTTTTTTGTTAAAAATGATGCCTTGAAATTAATTGTTAAGTTTCATGCGATAAAAGAAATTTTACCATTTTATTACTACTTCCAAAATAATTTTACTATTTTCCTTCTCATCTGAAGTTACTTGATCAAAGTTTTTGGAAGTAATAGATAATTCTATAAAAATAAAGATGTTATGGCAATGGCATGTTAAAAGATTAAGAATTACTATAGAAACTTTAATTTTTTGATGTTTCCTTGCCCATAAAAGTGTTGTAGATATAACAATATATAAATAGTAGTTTAACTTGAGTAAAGCACTCCAAAAGTTATAGAAAATGTTTGTTGTTTAGTAATGAAAATTATTAACTAGCAAAAACCATCACATTGATGTGTAATGTATTTCTGATGTGGTAATATACAGGTGTAAATTTCAGATCTTTAGCCTTTAGATGTACCAAAATGTGTTTCTTGTATTAGAAAAAAAAATAATAATGATAATTATTCCATAGCATGAGAAAAGTGTTAGTTAGACCAAATAGCATTATTGTTATTATTACTATTATTTGTTTCCATTAATATTTGCCAAAAAAATTATTTTGATTGCAGGTTATATTTATATAATTGCTAATTGGTGTTATATATTTTAAATAAAAAGTTTAGAAAAATATATATATTTTGCTTGTTAGAGCAAGCTAAAATTCAGCATTTCTTCCTTCATTTTTTTTTATTCCATATGGGAGCATCATCACTTCAAATGAATTGGAAACAGCAATAGTTAAATGCATCATTTTAATCTCTCTTGTCTCCATACAAGAGATTTGCAAAGTACAAATTTGCCATCCAGAAAGGCTATTTTGTAAAAGCATGTTCATGTTTTTTTGTCGTTTTAGAAATTAGCATTAAAGATGTATTTTGACAGTCACTTTTTAAAGATGTGCTATCAGCTACTGTTCCAATAAAAGACTGCCTTTAATCCATGTTATATATCAGTTGACTATTGAAAAATGTTGCTGTGCTCTAGAGAAGAATAGTATGACTGTTGTTATTGGTTGTTGGTGTTGGTAAAAATTATAAATATGCATATACATAAAAAATTTGTTAAAAGAAAAGTATCTGATGCATACTGTCTTTCATCTAATAAGAGAATTTATAATTATACAGTTTTGGGCAAGTGAGAAAAAAATTGTTCAATTACAATAATTTCAAAGAAAAAAATCAATTTCAA